TGACACAGGAGATTTTTAATACCCAAAACTAATTCAACCCTAAAATTTAGATAGCATCGTGGCACAATGTCAGTGGCATAAATTTGACTTCCATGACAACGTTTCATGACAGTGTTAACATCAGAGATGAATGTTAACATCATTGTTAATTCATCAGTGATGAATTCGCCAAATACGATCTCAGTGTTGTTAAATATTACATTTAACAACATCAAGGGACAACAAATCTAAGATTTAATGCTCATAAAATCATTGACTTTTTTTTTAATTATTAGAGTCTGAAGTCTCGATTGATGTGAGCCTTTTACCTGTTAACAGATCAATGGCGACAGTGTGACTGGTGTTAACAATGGCGACAGTGTGACTGGTGTTAACAATGGCGACAGAATGACTGGTGTTAACAATGGCGACAGTGTGACTGGTGTTAACAATGGCGACAGAATGACTGGTGTTAACAATGGCGACAGTATGACTGGTGTTAACAATGGCGACAGAATGACTGGTGTTAACAATGGCGACAGAGTGGCTGGTGTTAACAATGGCGACAGAGTGGCTGGTGTTAACAATGGCGACAGTATGACTGGTGTTAACAATGGCGACAGAGTGGCTGGTGTTAACAATGGCGACAGTATGACTGGTGTTAACAATGGCGACAGAGTGGCTGGTGTTAACAATGGCGACAGAGTGGCTGGTGTTAACAATGGCGACAGAGTGGCTGGTGTTAACAATGGCGACAGAGTGGCTGGTGTTAACAATGGCGACAGAATGACTGGTGTTAACAATGGCGACAGAATGACTGGTGTTAACAATGGCGACAGAGTGGCTGGTGTTAACAATGGCGACAGAATGACTGGTGCTAACAATGGCGACAGAATGACTGGTGTTAACAATGGCGACAGAGTGGCTGGTGTTAACAATGGCGACAGTATGACTGGTGTTAACAATGGCGACAGAGTGGCTGGTGTTAACAATGGCGACAGAGTGGCTGGTGTTAACAATGGCGACAGAATGACTGGTGTTAACAATGGCGACAGAGTGGCTGGTGTTAACAATGGCGACAGAATGACTGGTGTTAACAATGGCGACAGAGTGGCTGGTGTTAACAATGGCGACAGAATGACTGGTGTTAACAATGGCGACAGAGTGGCTGGTGTTAACAATGGCGACAGTATGACTGGTGTTAACAATGGCGACAGAATGACTGGTGTTAACAATGGCGACAGTATGACTGGTGTTAACAATGGCGACAGAATGACTGGTGTTAACAATGGCGACAGAGTGGCTGGTGTTAACAATGGCGACAGAGTGGCTGGTGTTAACAATGGCGACAGTATGACTGGTGTTAACAATGGCGACAGAGTGGCTGGTGTTAACAATGGCGACAGTATGACTGGTGTTAACAATGGCGACAGAGTGGCTGGTGTTAACAATGGCGACAGAGTGGCTGGTGTTAACAATGGCGACAGAGTGGCTGGTGTTAACAATGGCGACAGAGTGGCTGGTGTTAACAATGGCGACAGAATGACTGGTGTTAACAATGGCGACAGAATGACTGGTGTTAACAATGGCGACAGAGTGGCTGGTGTTAACAATGGCGACAGAATGACTGTGTTAACAATGGCGACAGAGTGGCTGGTGTTAACAATGGCGACAGAGTGGCTGGTGTTAACAATGGCGACAGAGTGGCTGGTGTTAACAATGGCGACAGAGTGGCTGGTGTTAACAATGGCGACAGAATGACTGGTGTTAACAATGGCGACAGAATGACTGGTGTTAACAGTGGCGACAGAGTGGCTGGTGTTAACAATGGCGACAGAATGACTGGTGTTAACAATGGCGACAGAGTGGCTGGTGTTAACAATGGCGACAGAATGACTGGTGTTAACAATGGCGACAGAGTGGCTGGTGTTAACAATGGCGACAGTATGACTGGTGTTAACAATGGCGACAGAGTGGCTGGTGTTAACAATGGCGACAGTATGACTGGTGTTAACAATGGCTACAGAGTGGCTGGTGTTAACAATGGCGACAGAATGACTGGTGTTAACAATGGCGACAGTATGACTGGTGTTAACAATGGCGACAGAGTGGCTGGTGTTAACAATGGCGACAGAGTGGCTGGTGTTAACAATGGCGACAGAATGACTGGTGTTAACAGTGGCGACAGAGTGGCTGGTGTTAACAATGGCGACAGAATGACTGGTGTTAACAATGGCGACAGAGTGGCTGGTGTTAACAATGGCGACAGAATGACTGGTGTTAACAATGGCGACAGAGTGGCTGGTGTTAACAATGGCGACAGTATGACTGGTGTTAACAATGGCGACAGTATGACTGGTGTTAACAATGGCGACAGTATGACTGGTGTTAACAATGGCGACAGAGTGGCTGGTGTTAACAATGGCGACAGTATGACTGGTGTTAACAATGGCTACAGAGTGGCTGGTGTTAAAAATGGCGACAGAATGACTGGTGTTTAACAATGGCGACAGTATGACTG